TTCATAGTCTACTATCTCCACATTTCCTTTACCCCCATCAATTATTCCTTCATAACTTCAAAATACTAATAGTGGTACCAAAGCTATGTTTGGTCATCTACTAAACATAGATAAAAAAGTTTAATCTACTTCAAACAAAACTATAACTCCATTAATTACTACTTTCAAAATATTTTCTCAACTCATGACTACTTCCAATCAAACATCACCAATTTTAGTACCTATTTTCACAAAAGAAAATTATGATTTTTGGAGTGTAAAAATGAAGACATTATTTTTCTCTCAAGATTTATGGGACATTATAGAAGAGGGATTCACTACTCCAAAAGACACCTCCACTCTTATTGCAACTCAGAAGAAGGAGTTAAAGGAAAACATAAAGAAGGATTCAAGGGCTTTATTTGCACTTCAACAAACAGTTGATGACACAATTTTTTCAAGAATAATAGATGACACAAGTGCAAACCACGCTTGGAACACAATATAAGAGCAGTTTTAAGGAAGTGAGGATACACAATGTTAAACTTCATTCTCTAAGACAATAGGAATGAAAGAATTTAAGACCATTAAAGACTACTATTCTAGAATAAAAGAAACAGATAGTAATGAAAGCCTATGGAGAAAATATTCTTTACAAAAATATCGTTGAGAAAATTTTAGTTTTTATTCCCCAAAAATATAATGCAATCACAACTATGATTTAACAAATACAAGATTTGGCTACATTGTCAGTAACACAACAAATGAGCTCTCTTTAAGCTTATGAACAAATATTGAAAAGACATAAAGAAGAATCAGTCAAAAATATCTTTCAATCAAAACTAAAGTTATGGTCATGGAATAAAGAATATGAAGGAAATAAAAGTAGAGGAGAATTTTCTAAAAGTAAAGAAAATTCTAGAAGTTTCTTTGTGACTCGTCAAGGAAAATATCCTATATGTGACATCTGTAAAAGCACAAGTCACTTGGAAAAATATTGTTGGCATCATGGAAAACCTCAATAGTACTGTAAGAAATTTGGTCACATAGAGAACTATTGTCATAATAAAAATAAGCATAAAGCAAAATTTGAAGGAGAACATAATAAAGAGAAACTATTATTCTATGCCAATCAAGAATCTCTTAGTGAAGAAAGAAGTTGGTACTTCGATAGTGGATACAACAATCATATGTTGAAAGATCAAAGCATCTTCAAAGCCATTGATAAATTTGTCAATGTCAAAGTTCGGCTAGGAAAGGACACCTTAGTGGAGTCTATAAGCAAAGGAACTGTCATGGTGGAGACAAAGAAAGGTACGAAATTCATCAAGGACGTTTTACTAGTTCCAAATCTTAAAGGAAATCTTTTAATTATTGGACAAATGATGAAGAATGGATACTCTCTTCATTTTGAGAAATATACATGTAAAGTTTATGATAGTAAAATGATAGAAATTGGCCAAGTAAAAATGGAGAAGAAAAATAGAAGCTTTCCTATAAGCTTCAAATCTAGAACTAATATTGTCATGAAGGTAGAAATTTATGAGTCATGGCTTTGGCATACGAGATTTGGTCACTTCAACACACATGCCTTAAAGCTTATATATCAGAAAATATGTGAAAGATCTTCCATTCTTGAAGGAGAATAATGAATCATTTGAAGGACTGAAATTGGTATATAAAAAGCTTAATCTTGATGAAACTATACAAAAGCACAAGGAAAGATTGGTCGCTAAAGGCTACTCATAATAACTAGGAATAGAATACAATGAAACATTGGTTCAAGTTGCTCGCTTAGATACAATTAGAGTTTTAATAGCTCTTGCAGCACAAAAAGGATGGAACGTTTATGAATTGAATGTTAAATCAGCATTTCTAAATGGAGTGCTCGAAGAAGAGATTTATGTGGAACACCCACAAGGCTTCATCAACAAAGGAAATAAAGACAAAGTACTAAGACTTAAAAATGCATTATATAGCCTGAAGCAAGCTCCTCAAGCATGGTATAGCAAGATTGATCAATAATTCATCGATCAAGGACTCATGAAGAGCATGAGTGAGCCAAAACTATATAGTAAAGCACAAGGTCATTATCATCTCATTATGTCCTTATATGTTGATGATCTGATCTATACATGAAACAATATGAAATGATGAAAGAATTTAAAGAAGAAATATTGAAGACATTTGAGATGACCAACCTTGGCTTGATGAACTATTTCCTCGGTATAGAGGTGAAACAAATAAAAAGGTATATTTATATCTCAAAAGGAATATATTGAAGCTTTACTAAAGAAGTTCAAGATGAGAATGTTTGTAAACCTATCACTACTCCGTTGGTGGTAAACGAGAAGCTACAAAAAGATGATGAAGCACAAAAGTAGATGCATCACGTTGCAGGAGTTTGATTGGAAGTCTCTTGTATCTCGCAGCCACACTACACACATTATGTATACTACAAGTCTTCTATCAAGATTCATGCAAAAGTCAAGTCAGATTCATTATGGAGTAGGAAAAAGAATTTTAAGATATCTACAAAGCACAAAGGAGTTTAGTATATGGTACAAAACCATGATTAACTCAAAGATGATTTGGCTACACAGATAGTGATTGGGCAAGATCAATGGACGACATGAAGAGTACGTCAGGATACACTTTCTCACTAGGATAAAATATTTTATCTTGGGCATCAAAGAAGCAACCGTGGCACAATCAACAACAGTAGTAGAGTATGTAGCAATTGTTGAAACCACGATTCAGGAAATATGGCTCTGAAGAATACTTAAAGAAATGGGTGAACCACAAGATGGATCGACTATTATCTATTGCGACAACAAATTGACAAAAGCAATAGTAGAAAATCCTGTCCATCTTCAAGAACAAAACACATAGCCATTAAATATCACTTAATTCGAGATATAAAGAGACAAGTAGAAAAATTTGACTCGAGTACTGCCCAACAAAAGACCAAAAGGCAGATATTTTTTAAAAAGGCATTACTAAGACCAAGATTTGAACTATTATGCACAATGTTTGGAATTACTGAATTTGCATTAAGGAGGAGTATTAAAGTGTAATGCAAATTCTAGAATAATATAGAAAATCTTAAGATATATGCATTAAAATGTAATAAAAGTTCTAGAATATTGTAGAAAAGTCTAAGATAAGAAGAAAAAATCAAGAACATTCTACAAAGGTAAAAATCTAGGACATTTCACATAACACTAGTGCATTCAAGGGATATGGCCTCGGTTATTTTCAGTTATAGACACCGGTTCCATAACCGAGGCATATACGAACGAGATAAAAAAAATACGCATTTTGCCTCGGTTCTAGAACCGAGTTAGAAGGGTTTGAATTCTGTTTCGGTTTCACAAACAACCGAGTCAGTATAGTTTTTTAATTTTTTTAATATGAACCGGGATCAGTTGTTTGTTTCTCATTTTTATGGTTTCTCGTTGTTGCAACACAGGTCAAGATCTCTGCCAGACTCTAAAATTTTTTTAACAATCCTTTCACAATGCACTGATGTTTCTGGAGTCACAAACAAGGTCACTCCTCCTCCTTGCCAATCATTGCCAGAGAAAGAGCAACTCCAATGTCTTCTTCCAACCAAAAACACAAACTCTTCCAACCAAAAACACAATCACAGAAACGGAGAAAGTAGATGGAGGAGACGAGAAACACTATCTAAACGAAAAACAAAAAATCAGAGACCCAAAACGCAGATCCATTTCGCCACACCTGCAGAGAAACTGAACTAAAAACCAAAAACACAGATCCAACGCCTAAACGCCACCACGCCGCCGCCGCCGCATCCTCGCCGCTCCATCATCGCAGCCGCCATCGCAGTACCGTCGTTGCTCTCTCGCGGCATCGTCGCGGGCTCTCTCGCCGCCTCACCGTCGCGGGCTCTCTCGCCTCACCGTCACAGGCTCTCGCCGCACCATTGCGAGCTCTCTCTTCTTCTTGGCCGTGGGCACCGTCTTGGGGTACGTCGCAGGGTCCTACAGCTGCCTCCACCTCTGAGTGCCAAAACCCTAAGAACCAATTTATCAAAGTATTGTGAATGAATGTTTTTTTAAAATTAGTATCAAACTAGCTTTTTTTTCTTTAAATATTGATAAAAGAAAAATAAGAGTTTAAGTTTCATATTTTACAGTTTCTGTTACATCTTTTCATGTGTAAGAAGAAGCTTTAATTTTCATCAGAACTGATGAAATGTTTTCACTTCTTTTCTCCCTCTCTTGTTCTCCAATTAAGTCATCTTTTGTTTTCAATGAAACACTGATGTTTTGGCTTAAAATTGAATTGGTTGCAGAAATGAGATTGTAGTGGGGATTTTCTAGTATTGGGTCACCAGGATGATTTTTTTTTTATAGATATTCATTGAAAATTAAGTGATGAAATTTATTGGAGAAATTGTTTTCATCTGGCATCTCGAAAAGGTAATTTAATTCAACTAGAATTTCTTAAAAAAAATTCACTTCTTTAAAAATTAGTTTTAATTTATTTCATTTTATATAATTTTTTTATTAAATATATTTAGTCATGAATTTAAAAGTTAAATATTTAAATTTTAAAAATAATAAATATAATTATTTTAATCAATTATTAATATTTTTAAAACTTATTAACTCTTTCATTTCAAGTTATTAATTGAGTTGTTTATATTGTTTAATATATTTTAGTTTTAATATCAATTGCAAAACATGTTTAACAAGTCAAACATTTAACTATATCTATTTTATAAATTGAAATCAAAATGTATAAAAAATTCAAACATATATTAATTTTAATTTTGTTTAAATATTTAAGAATTAAAATATATTTAATCTTTTTTTAAGTGTTTACACAGTTTATTGAAACAATTATCAAGTTCTAAACTATGTATAACAATGCCCACTCTTCTTCTGCAGTTAGAGATCTTATTGATACACAGAAAGTGGAAGCAATTATAGGACCTGATACATGGAAAGAGACAACTTTAGTGGCTGATATTTGTAGCCAAAATGTGACCCAGTTCTATCTCTAGCTGATGCAACTCCAATTGGTCAACATTGAAGTGGCCCTACCTTGTGCAAATCTCACCTAATCAGTTTAAGCGATAAAGCAGTAGCAGCTATTGTACATTCCGTGAATGGTACAACGTTAACATAATATACGATGATACTGATTCTTCATCCACGAGAATGTTCTCTCATCTCTATAGTGATCTTAGTGTGTCAGGTGTTCATATAACAGCATGTTTTGGCCATCCCTCCGTTAAGCTCCTCTTCACTGCCTCAAGAACTAGAGAAACTTAGGAATGGCTATTGCAGAGTTTTGTTGTTAATTTGTCAGTTCCTTTGGGCCATAAACCTATTTCAAACTGCAAAGAAATTGAAAATGATGGAGAAAGGTTATGTGTGGATCGTTACTGATCCTCTTACAAATCTTGTCCATTCATTGAACTCTTCTACTATATCATCAATGCAAGGGATAGTTGGAGTAAAGAGCTACTTCCCAGAAATAGGGCTTCAATACGAGGACTTCTACTCTAAATTTAGAAAAAAGTTTAGCTTAGAGAACCCTCATGAGCTTAATAATGAGCCTGGGATATTTGCAGCACGTGCTTATGATGCTGCATGGACTCTAGCTCTATCCATGATCCAAACAACCAACAAAAAAGATCAAACGTTACTGGATAAGGTTCTACTCAATAATTTTAATGGCTTAAGTGGAAAATTCATTTCACTGACCAAAAGTTAGACCCTTCAGATACTTTCAGATCATCAATGTGATGGGGAAAGATTATAAGAAAATTTGGGTTCTGGACAAAGGGACTAGGTTTCTCAAATACTATAGGCCAAAATGCTGCTTTCAATTCTTCAATGAGGAACTTGGACAAGTTTTATGGCCAGGAAGACCTTGGGGAATACCAAGAGGATGGATTCCAGCATTGGATAAACCACTTAGAATTGGGGTCCCCGTTTTGGCCACATTGAAACAATCCGTAACTGTAATTCACGACCAAACAGAAAATACCACCACGTTCCAAGGATTCACCATTGATCTTTTTAGAGAAACTATGGAGTTGTTGCCCTATCACTTGCCCTACAAATTCTATCCTTTCAATGACACGTACGATAATTTGGTGAAGCAAGTTTATTTGAAGGTAAGACTTGTTAACTATAGTATTATTTGTACCAAGTCTTTCAATCTATCCTTTCTCATTATTTGTACCATGTCCTATATATTTTTAATTTAGTTGTGTTTCTATGTAGTGTTGGTTAGTATTTTGAGGTTATGAAGAGAATAATTGATGGGTAAAGAAAATATAGAGATAGTAGAATGTGAAAGTAACAATTGAAAGAAGTGTATTTTGTAGATGTTTTCTTACCGAGTACATGGACATTTATAACCTATAGATTAGTTTAAAACATGTTAGCCACTACTTACACTAGTAAAAAAGTTGCTTTTTAACTCGCCTTATACGTCTCGGTTAAAGGACAACCGAAACGTATAAAGAATTTTAACTCGGTTAATAATAAAACCGATTCCTAAAGGTCCACTTTTTCGTCTGGCAAAAGTCCAATCAGAGCCAATGACCTCGTTGTGTCAGACCTGGGACGAAACCACGTTTATGCCTCGGTTGAGGCGGGGACCGAAGCATATACCCACGTTTATGCCTCGGCTGAGACGGGACCGAGGCATATACCCTTTCTCATTTTTCTTCACTTTCCAATCTCATAACCCCAATTTCAGAACCCCAATTTTCCCAATCAGAACTCAGATCCCAATTTTTCTTCTGTTTCTCCACTCCCGTCCCCCTCCTTTCCTCTCTGCAACCCTTCCTTTCTCCACTCTCGTCTCCCTCCCTTCTTCTCCTACAACCCTTCCTTTATCCACTCTCCTCTCCCTCAACTCCACCATTCCCTCACCACCCTCTTCTCCCCCCCATCCCCAAAACGATATTGGTTCTTAGGGTTTTGGCACTCAGAGGTGGAGGCAGCTGTAGGACCTGCGACGTACCCCAAGACGGTGCCCACGGCCAAGAAGAGAGAGAGCTCGCAATGGTGCGGCGAGAGCCTGTGACGGTGAGGCGAGAGAGCCCGCGACGGTGAGGCGGCGAGAGAGCCCGCGACGATGCCGCGAGAGAGCAGCGACGGTACTGCGATGATGGAGCGGCGAGGATGCGGCGGCGGCGGCGTGGTGGCGTTTAGGCGTTGGATCTGTGTTTTTGGTTTTTAGTTCAGTTTCTCTGCAGGTGTGGCGAAATGGATCTGCGTTTTGGGTCTCTGATTTTTTGTTTTTCGTTTAGATAGTGTTTCTCTCTCCCCTCCATCTACTTTCTCCGTTTCTGTGATTTGTTTTTGGTTGGAAGAGTTTGTTTTTGGTTTGGAAGAAGACATTGGAGTTGCTCTTTCTCTGGCAATGATTGGCACAGGAGGAGGAGTGACCTTGTTTGTGACTCCAGAAACATCAGTGCATTGTGAAGGATTGTTAAAAAATTTTAGAGTCTGGCAGAGATCTTGACCTGTGTTGCAACAACGAGAAACCATAAAAATGAGAAACAAACAACTGATCCCGGTTCATATTAAAAAAATTAAAAAACTATACTGACTCGGTTGTTTGTGAAACCGAAACAGAATTCAAACCCTTCTAACTCGGTTCTAGAACCGAGGCAAAATGCGTATTTTTTTTATCTCGTTCGTATATGCCTCGGTTATGGAACCGGTGTCTATAACTGAAAATAACCGAGGCCATATCCCTTGAATGCACTAGTGTTATGTGAAATGTCCTAGATTTTTACCTTTGTAGAATGTTCTTGATTTTTTCTTCTTATCTTAGACTTTTCTACAATATTCTAGAACTTTTATTACATTTTAATGCATATATCTTAAGATTTTCTATATTATTCTAGAATTTGCATTACACTTTAATACTCCTCCTTAATGCAAATTCAGTAATTCCAAACATTGTGCATAATAGTTCAAATCTTGGTCTTAGTAATGCCTTTTTAAAAAATATCTGCCTTTTGGTCTTTTGTTGGGCAGTACTCGAGTCAAATTTTTCTACTTGTCTCTTTATATCTCGAATTAAGTGATATTTAATGGCTATGTGTTTTGTTCTTGAAGATGGACAGGATTTTCTACTATTGCTTTTGTCAATTTGTTGTCGCAATAGATAATAGTCGATCCATCTTGTGGTTCACCCATTTCTTTAAGTATTCTTCAGAGCCATATTTCCTGAATCGTGGTTTCAACAATTGCTACATACTCTACTACTGTTGTTGATTGTGCCACGGTTGCTTCTTTGATGCCCAAGATAAAATATTTTATCCTAGTGAGAAAGTGTATCCTGACGTACTCTTCATGTCGTCCATTGATCTTGCCCAATCACTATCTGTGTAGCCAAATCATCTTTGAGTTAATCATGGTTTTGTACCCATATACTAACTCCTTTGTGCTTGTAGAATATCTTAAATTCTTTTTTCCTACTCCATAATGAATCTGACTTGACTTTTGCATGAATCTTGATAGAAGACTTGTAGTATACATAATGTGTGTAGTGCACTGTCGGAGCTGGCGTGCTGCTCCGTGGTCTCTGCTCGCGGCCCTTGTCTCCTGCTCCTGAAGCTGCCCTGCGGAGGTCTGTGTCGTGTGCTCTAGGAGAAAGACAAATCTGTCTCCGCAGACAATCAGACTGTCTAAAAAGGCAAAAGCGAATGAATGTCGTGTACACAATCGATCTATGAGTCAATTCAGAACAGTAATAAAAGGTGGGGATTAGAGCTGGATGAGGTCAAGTACAGCACACCTGTCTTCAAATTAGAGCAGGACGCGGAGAAGCTCACGGGTGAAATGGTGTTCAAAAAAATTAGATAGTAGGAGGTGAGGTATGTGTGTGGGACACACATAATTAGTTTATTTTGAAAATAAGAGAAAAAAAAAAAAGTCGGAAAAGTATAAAAAAAAAAAAAAAAAAAAAATTGGGAAGTTGTGATAAAAAGTTAAGGTGATGTGTGTAAATTATAAAAAAAAGTGGGTAAAAACTAAAAAAAATATAAAAATAAAGTAGATATAAAGTGAATTGAGATAGAATTGGATATAGAAAAAAAAAAAAATGTTAATAAAGATAGTAGAATTAAATGAAAATTAATAATTAAGGGATGGATAGAAAAAAGTTTTAAGAATAGATAAAAAAAAAAGTGTAGTATAATGTAACGAAACATGATTCTCAAAAGATGATTTGGCTACACAGATAGTGATTGGGCAAGATCAATGGACGACATGAAGAGTACGTCAGGATACACTTTCTCACTAGGATAAAATATTTTATCTTGGGCATCAAAGAAGCAACCGTGGCACAATCAACAACAGTAGTAGAGTATGTAGCAATTGTTGAAACCACGATTCAGGAAATATGGCTCTGAAGAATACTTAAAGAAATGGGTGAACCACAAGATGGATCGACTATTATCTATTGCGACAACAAATTGACAAAAGCAATAGTAGAAAATCCTGTCCATCTTCAAGAACAAAACACATAGCCATTAAATATCACTTAATTCGAGATATAAAGAGACAAGTAGAAAAATTTGACTCGAGTACTGCCCAACAAAAGACCAAAAGGCAGATATTTTTTAAAAAGGCATTACTAAGACCAAGATTTGAACTATTATGCACAATGTTTGGAATTACTGAATTTGCATTAAGGAGGAGTATTAAAGTGTAATGCAAATTCTAGAATAATATAGAAAATCTTAAGATATATGCATTAAAATGTAATAAAAGTTCTAGAATATTGTAGAAAAGTCTAAGATAAGAAGAAAAAATCAAGAACATTCTACAAAGGTAAAAATCTAGGACATTTCACATAACACTAGTGCATTCAAGGGATATGGCCTCGGTTATTTTCAGTTATAGACACCGGTTCCATAACCGAGGCATATACGAACGAGATAAAAAAAATACGCATTTTGCCTCGGTTCTAGAACCGAGTTAGAAGGGTTTGAATTCTGTTTCGGTTTCACAAACAACCGAGTCAGTATAGTTTTTTAATTTTTTTAATATGAACCGGGATCAGTTGTTTGTTTCTCATTTTTATGGTTTCCTCGTTGTTGCAACACAGTCAGATCTCTGCCACTTCTAAAATTTTTTAACAATCCTTCACAATGCACTGATGTTTCTGGAGTCACAAACAAGGTCACTCCTCCTCCTTGCCAATCATTGCCAGAGAAAGAGCAACTCCAATGTCTTCTTTCCAACCAAAAACACAACTCTTCCACCAAAACTCATCAACCTAAAACGGAGAAAGAGATGGAGAGACGAGAAACACTATCTAAACGAAAAACAAAAAATCAGAGACCCAAAACGCAGATCCATTTCGCCACACCTGCAGAGAAACTGAACTAAAAACCAAAAACACAGATCCAACGCCTAAACGCCACCACGCCGCCGCCGCCGCATCCTCGCCGCTCCATCATCGCAGCCGCCATCGCAGTACCGTCGTTGCTCTCTCGCGGCATCGTCGCGGGCTCTCTCGCCGCCTCACCGTCGCGGGCTCTCTCGCCTCACCGTCACAGGCTCTCGCCGCACCATTGCGAGCTCTCTCTTCTTCTTGGCCGTGGGCACCGTCTTGGGGTACGTCGCAGGGTCCTACAGCTGCCTCCACCTCTGAGTGCCAAAACCCTAAGAACCAATATCGTTTTGGGGATGCGGGGGGAGAAGAGGGTGGTGAGGGAATGGTGGAGTTGAGGGAGAGGAGAGTGGATAAAGGAAGGGTTGTAGGAGAAGAAGGGAGGGAGACGAGAGTGGAGAAAGGAAGGGTTGCAGAGAGGAAAGGAGGGGGACGGGAGTGGAGAAACGAAGAAAAATTGGGATTCTGAGATTGGGAAAATTGGGGTTCTGAAATTGGGGTTATGAGATTGGGAAAGTGAAGAAAAATGAGAAAGGGTATATGCCTCGGTCCCGTCTCAGCCGAGGCATAAACGTGGGTATATGCTTCGGTCCCCGCCTCAACCGAGGCATAAACGTGGTTTCGTCCCAGGTCTGACACAACCGAGGTCATTGGCTCTGATTGGACTTTTGCCAGACGAAAAAGTGGACCTTTAGGAATCGGTTTTATTATTAACCGAGTTAAAATTCTTTATACGTTTCGGTTGTCCTTTAACCGAGACGTATAAGGCGAGTTAAAAAGCAACTTTTTTACTAGTGTAAGTAGTGGCTAACATGTTTTAAACTAATCTATAGGTTATAAATGTCCATGTACTCGGTAAGAAAACATCTACAAAATACACTTCTTTCAATTGTTACTTTCACATTCTACTATCTCTATATTTTCTTTACCCATCAATTATTCTCTTCATAACCTCAAAATACTAACCAACACTACATAGAAACACAACTAAATTAAAAATATATAGGACATGGTACAAATAATGAGAAAGGATAGATTGAAAGACTTGGTACAAATAATACTATAGTTAACAAGTCTTACCTTCAAATAAACTTGCTTCACCAAATTATCGTACGTGTCATTGAAAGGATAGAATTTGTAGGGCAAGTGATAGGGCAGCAACTCCATAGTTGCTCTAAAAATATCAATGGTGAATCCTTGGAACGTGGTGGTATTTTCTGTTTGGTCGTGAATTACAGTTACGGATTGTTTCAATGTGGCCAAAACGGGGACCCCAATTCTAAGTGGTTTATCCAATGCTGGAATCCATCCTCTTGGTATTCCCCAAGGTCTTCCTGGCCATAAAACTTGTCCAAGTTCCTTCATTGAAGAATTGAAAGAAGCATTTTGGCCTATAGTATTTGAGAAACCTAGTCCATTTGTCCAGAACCCAATTTACTTATAATCTTTCCCCATCACATTGATGATCTGAAAAGTATCTGAAGGGTCTAACTTTTGGTCAGTGAAATGAATTTTTCCACTTAAGCCATTAAAATTATTGAGTAGAATCTTATCCATTAACGTTTGATCCTTTTTGTTGGTTGTTTGGATCATGGATAGAGCAAGAGTCCATGTAGCATCATAAGCACGTGCTGCAAATATCCCAGGCTCATTGTTAAGTTCATGAGGGTTCT